AACAAAGACAAAAATCGGTGGTGACATGCAGAAACCTTCAAGTGGGGGATCTAGTTCTCCTTAGGGACAAACAGATCCTAGGCAACTGCTGGCCAATGGCCGTAGTCATGGCAACCTTTCCTGAGAAGGGTGGACATGTGAGAAAGGTTGAGGTAAAAACGGCCAACCAAGGTGATGCAAAAAACTTTCTCAAGACAGTTACGGAAGTCATTCTTCTGCCTAAGGACTGATTCGGTGACTGTTGTTTTGGACTCCTTCAAGTTTATTGTGGCCTCACAATGGCCAGACTGGGAGTGCATGGCCTTTACGGCATTAAGTTTATTGTTAGAATTGATTCACGTATATATGTGTTCTGCTTACAAAGTTGTAGTACTACTACTTATAAGCAGAACACATATATATGTGAATCAATTCTAACAATAAATAAAATTCTCTCAAAGTAGTAGTAAACTCTTGTTTACTACTACTTTGAGAGGATTTTATTTTGAAGATCATCTTGCAGGTGATGACACTTCCTACTGTCTTTGTATTCAGAGCGATTTTGTTTTATTATTGCTTAGAGGGAAAAAATCATCAGGACTTGTCCACAGCCATTCACTTTGCAACATTGTTTGAGCAACATCTTATCACTTCTTGTCAACTGAAGTAGCAGAGAGTACTAACAGAGAGTGCGTGTCGTCTTTGTTTTTGTTTTTTTAATAGACTATGTTAAATCTGCCCTATGTGTCTCCTTGGTGTGTTCTGCATGTGAGTAAGAAAACAATGGACCATGACAGATGTCTAGTAGAAGCAAATTATGGGAAGTTACAGGTATAGCGCCCCTAGTGGCCAAGAGTTACACGTTGTGTCTTTACCTTAACCCTTTAAAGCCCGATCCAAGAATGAAACAAAACAGAAAATACTTTTCTTTGGTTTGAAGTCCTTATTTGGCCTTTTAACAAAATATGTAACAAGAAAAAACAGAAATACATTTTTGATATTAATAATATATTACTATGCGATAAGTCAAGATTATTTTTTTGTAGTCTTCTGCCCTCTGTTATCAGGCATATCTGATTGTGTACGATAGGATTTTGAGCAAAGTTCTTACCAATAAATTAATTATGCAAAAGGTGTCAGACGCAAAACATTTCAGAAACCGTATGTATCATATTTGATACATACGGTTTAGAATGTGACAATATGAAATCTGAAACTACAAAAGAAAATAAATAAAAATATTTTAAGTGTAATTAAAATACTTCACATAATAGCAAATTTTTTCTTCTCAAACTAAAAAGCAGGTGTAGTTTCTTGCACTTGCTTTGCAGTTATTTATAATAGAAAATAAAAGCAAATTTAGTTTCAACTATTACTTTTTCAGTATTAACTTTTGTTTAGCCTTGCTTCTTCAAACATGCAATCATCCTGACCTCTTTCTGATGCCACAACTAGGCAACACAAAACAGACACAAACCCAGAAAGCCTGACATTTCCAACCTGATTTGCTTTGATTTTCTTTGCCTCAGCCTTCAATAAAGATATAGGCACTAGAAATATTCTTTAATTTTTCCACTTTAAGACCCAATGTTTTTCAGTCAGTGGCACTGATATGCCGCATATTACAATAATGCATTATTATACATGTTTATCAGATGTGGGTGCGAAAGTGAAGATGTGGTATTTACTCTTGTTTCACATAAAATTTTGCTTTTATTTTTTATTTTTTTTACATCTAATCTAAATATAATGGTGAACATGTCAATTCATTTATTTGATTTAAAAATATTTTTTTTACATTTGCGCAATTTGAATTACTCTATAACTATTTTTAGTAAAGTTATTTTCCATCTGGCTTTACTTAATTTCTTATTTCTCATTAGATACAACTGAAGTCATTGAAATAAATTCGTTTTTTTTTGGAAGCACAAGTTCAATTATTTTTAAAAGTAAACATTTTGATTTAAAATTCTGAGTCTTTGTGATGCAAGCAGCTAAAATTCTAAACGGATTTTTGATGACAAATCCGGCCATCTGGACTTCCATTCCACCCCAGCTGACCTGAGTGGAAGCAGCAACTATATTAGAGAAAATATTTTATTTTTTCTTTAAAAACCGAACATTAATAAAGTCCATATTTTATTAAACATGACCTCCCTGTTGACCAGTTTTCGCTTGGCGGAGACTTTAACAGATGCAGTCATCGTGGCTGAAGGGGTGGAATTTCCAGTCCATAAGGTCATCCTGTGTAATTGCAGCCCGTATTTCCGGTAAGTTGAGAAAAGTGAATTAGTTTGTGTTTTAAAATGCAGCAAATAAGCTACATTTGGTTATAGTTGAGGATTTAATCAGCAGTGAGTTGAAAAGGAAAGCTTCAACCAACAACAATACATTAAAACCACAACCAAAATTGTTTAACAGGTCAAATTAAACTGGCTTTAATTTGACAGTACAGTAGTGGGAAAAGGTATTCAACTATGCAGTCCAGTTAAATAAAGGAGGTAGATATATATGATAACATTGCAGTGTCCATATAAACTGTAAAACTCCCTGCATAATTATAATAAAGCAATTTATATGCATGAAACAAGTGGAGCAGTATGGCAATTGCCATACCGCTACACTTGTGAAAGTAAAATCTGTTGGGCTCCTTTTGGCATCAAGACAATTATTGTTATGGCCACCTTGCCAGACAAGACACTGTTGAGAAAAAAAAAGAGAAAAAAAAAAAGATATATATGATAATACACCCATTCAGCACTTTATTTTCTTTTTTCTTTGCAAAGAAAAAGAGAACATAATGGTAGAGCGTCCAGCCCTGCTTCGTTTCACTAATTTAAACCTTCAGAAAAGCTGTAAAGGTCTCCAAACAATTAAAATTACTCAAAACAATTTACAGACAGTTGGAGCAGTAAACAGTAAAATGTTCTAAAAAAAAAAAAAACCCTGAGAAATAGTCTAGTGTATTATGAAAATGATTATTTGATACAAAACACTCCCTAATAAGAAAAATAACTTCCTTAGACGCCTTGTTGCCTTGCAGCTCTGAAATTAATATATAAACGTTTCAATTATAAAAAATGTATCATCTTTCTATGTAAGTAATAATAAAAAATGAAAAAATCTATCACTATTTATAATGGGATATTTAGCAGGAGTCAGGTGTGTCTGTACAGAGAGTTAAACTATCTATGGTGTTAAATTTTTCAATTCAGAAATGTTTTTTAGACATAGGAACTCTTGAAATTATCTCTGTATATATATATACACATATATATATATCTATATATAGATATATATCCATATATAGAGAGAGATATATATCTATATATATAGGTCTATATCTATATATAT